ACCCCCTTTCCATGGCCATTAATTTGGCCAGTCGTGTAATCAATAGACTTAAAGACACATCGAACACAGGTTCATCCCAGAATACAAGCCCTTGACGTGCACAAAATGTGTAAGTTTGCTGCCGGGTAGGGTGTAAAACGTTTCTATCGCGTTTAGCTTCCGCGCTTTAATTGACTGTTGTTTGCACGACTCGTACCCTTTTATCGCATCGGTTTTCTATTTATCTCTGTACGCCTTTGTCAGCGTAGCTTTCCATGACAACTATGGCCTCACATACTTTAAACTGCTAAATAGCCCACCCTTTCCGAAGTCTCCTCACCTCGAAAAAGCCCCTTATCCTGCACGCCGCATGTTTTGGCATCTATATGTCACCGTTTGAGCATTTTATGACACCGCCATATAGCAATGGTCAAGAAAGCATTTGGTAACGCACAGCTGTGTGTCCGCACGCACATGCATCCATTCGGGAATTGTTTACTCTCTCCTCCGCGCACTCAGTATTTCTTCGTCTCTCTTTTCACTCAGTCGTTCATTTCTGAAAATTTACTGCAAAGAAGACGGCCTTAATCAGGTCGTTTCCCATGGCTCTTTCGGCTGTTTTCCATACTAACGAGATGACTATCATTTGCATGCTCTTTTTTATCCATCCTACCTACGGAATTTAATGATGATAGAGTCCTTCAATATTACAATGATTGGTTATATGCAATGTTTATTCTGAAACTGTCAAGTCTACACAAGTAGTGAGCCCTCTTTTCTTCCATCAGAGAGATGATTCTCTCTCACTTCTTCTCCTCATGATCTCCTTCGGGGAGCTGTTCTCTGATTTCGCCTTATTCGATGCATTCTCCTCGGTCCGCTCCTGTGAGCTCGTGATCTGTCCTTTGCATTAGCCGTGGTGAAACGGACTGCAGCTGAACGCGTTCCGTAGGGATTCTCTGCCACAGCCGAACTTGACGTTCCCATCGATTCCGATTCTTGGCCTAGAGCGCTTCCACCTGATGGAGGCCCGCTCACCGAGACGCTTTGCTCAGCTGAAGAGATCGGATTCTGTGCCACAGCCGAACTTGGCCTTTTCATCGATTCCATTTTTTGGTCTAAACCGCCTCCTACCGGTGGAGGTCCACTCTCCGAGATCTCGTCACTGAAGCTTCCTTTAGCTTTTCCTGGACCGATTGATCCCGCGGTGTCTCCGCCTACTCCTTCGTTCGGGTATTCGTTTGGTGACGCACCCTCGCCATGTGGCGTTCTATCAGGACAAGGACAATAAGCTGCATCGTTTCCTGGTCCACCGGCTAGTCCTGGTGGCCCCTGAAGCCCGGGTTCTCCTGGCATTCCCCTACTTCCAGGTGGGCCCGGTGGACCGGGTGGCCCTGCGTTCGGAGGCTGTTCGAATTTGTGTTCTCCATCTGAACCTGGTTCTCCAGGAGGGCCCGGAGGCCCTTGTGGTCCGGGAAGATTGTGTACTCTTCTTCCTGGAGCACCAGGTTCGCCAGGAGGTCCGGCAGGGCCTGGATTGCCGTCTGCTCCTGGTTCTCCTGGTGGTCCAGGAGGTCCAGGCATAGATGCCTCACTTTCTTCTCCATCTTCTCCAGGTTTTCCATCCATACCTGGTGGTCCAGGGGGGCCGTCCTCTCCCATAGGTCCCGGTGGTCCTTGAGGGCAAGTAATGCACGCTCCACCACCCCCAAGAGAGCCTCCTTTGGAGATTCCGTCTTCTCCGGGCACTCCATCTTTACCACGTTCTCCATCTTCACCGTTCAATCCTGGTGCTCCTGGCGGACCAGGAGGACCTGGAGGACAATTTGTTGGGTAACTCGATTGCCACATAGAAGTCTTGCCGTTTCGTTCTGTTTTGAGCGCTTTTCCTCATCATCTGCCAGACATCGTTTCCAGCAGCCTAAATTTCAAGGTAAATTTTCAACACATGAATAATGAAAGAGCCCGAAGGTGTGTGAAAGCGGTGGGTGGGTATTCTAGAAGGTGAGCTAACGGTTTGCAATTGATGAAAGGGCGGTAAAAGGCTTACTATCAATGAAGCTGGTAGATGCCCCTACCTCAGCCACCGCCTTCACCCACCTTAAGAAGCACTGCCTCTAGCCTCCATATGTAGGTCAGCGTCAGTCGAACCCTCTGGGATTCGCACCGCAGTATGGTGCCAGTAGTTCAAGTGAAGGAGTACGAAATGCCCATTTGGCTGTGCGAAATGCCCATTATGGCCTGTCAGGCTAGGTTCGTACCCGATTCGGAGGTCGTTTGTGAGGGCAAGCGTGTGCAGGTCGGTAGATCCGTATTGCGGCGGCGAGCACGAAGTAACTAGCTTGCCCTCGCTAGCTATTTGGTGCTCGTTGCAGCACGGAGATTCAATTGGCACCTGAACTTAATTGATTTAACAGAAGTGCTCCAGCAATATGAGCCAAGCCTATTGCTGGAGTACACTTCATCAAATCAATTAGCTCCAGGTGCGAATGTCGAGGTCGCTCGCGACGCCGCGTCGGCGTAGTATAGATCTACCGTCCCGCTCTCCGCGAAAACGGCACCATTGGTTACTGTTCCATCACTACCGTGAAAATATACAGCTTAAGTTACTGCATCCACCTGAAGCTCTTCTAACTCTTGTCGTAGCTCTCCTTGAAATGAGTTCAAATCGTTGCATATGTAGAGCAATGCTCCGAGGAATCCTACGAATGATACCGTAGTCACGCCGAAAACGATGGGAATGAAAGGCGAGGAAGCTTTCATCTGGAAATATCAATGATAAAACATGTTAAAATTTCAGAAAGAAGTGGCACTAGTGTAAAAGTTACAAAAACGGCAGTTCTTAGAGAGCGCGAAGCATTAAAATAAGTGACACGGTAATGTCGGTACAACTCTGGCCCCAATTTCTTATTCCAGGACGCCCCATCCCTCACTTTCTACATCCTGGCTCCCACTTCCCTGTGCGCCCAAAAATCCTTACCAATCTCCCTCGCAATCTTCTCCTGTTCGGGCATGTGAAGGGTTAAAATTGCAAAACGTCCAGAAACATTTCTCTCGAAGCCAGATGCGACGTTCACCGATCAAGAACAGCTGCCTCCTTCCTCTTGATCGGAAAGCACGACCCCGCTATGGGTTTCTCTTGGACGATGCTTTCTGTTTGGGGATAGGCTCCAGCCAAGTACTGTCCCTGACCGCTCGGATCGGACAACATGTGTGGACTCATGGGGTCATTCTATGATCCTCCTGCACCACCGCTATTTAATGACATGATCAGAGGCTCCCGCAGCCACATGGGAAGTACCATATTCAAAATGGGCTCCTTGCGTCAGCGTTGATTGTAATACTTCTGTCCTTATTGGAGCGCCCAGGACTTTGTGTTCAGAGCTTGCCCAGGGTGACACGAAAAACGCTGTTCTGGCCTCGCGCCTACGGTCCTAAGCGGGAATCGCTTGTATATGTAAGGTGACCGCTCGTATAAAAAGACAGCCGTAAGAATGGAGGAGTAAATGAAGAAAATCAGACGAGATACACAATGAAGAGAAAAAGAACTGCCGCAGAAGGAAAAATTGAATGTGGTATAGATGTGGGAGGATCAACGCCAGAAGTACAGAAACTTCTTCTGCAAATTCACTGTCCCTGATAGTTGGTCGGAAGTACCCCACTTGACGGGTATTTTGAACGGCATGGGAAGTGTTCCCAATGTGGCCAAGTGTCAACTGATCACACGATAAAAAGGGTCCTGATATTCTTTCTGGGTTCACCAAATGTCTGTCAACTAACTATTCATGCTCTAAGAAGCCCAAAACTCCCAGGCCATTGTTGTTATATTTAAAAGATGAATGCTATAATGGTTGAGCGCCATGAAGACGAGAACAGTTGTGTAGAACAGAGTTGGAGGGAGTCCAGCACTGGGAGAAGTCCACCGTGGCATTCCGTCTTCATGGCGTCTCAACCATTATATAGAGTCAACAGGATAATAGAAGATTATTATCATAAGGGTAAATGCGGAACGGTCTTCGCAGGTGAGATTGGGACATGCGATTAGTGAGCCACAAGTCTCATCGAATCAAGAAAACCAGTTTTTGATCTATTGTCCTCACCTTGCGAAAGGTACATAGTCGCGACAGGTATTGAAAAGACAGTGAGAGTGCTAAGTCGACGTACTCCAGTAGGCAGGTTCCAACCCAGGACATTGTTCCCACGATTTCGATTGCTTGTGCGAACGGTCGGTAATTACACTCCTTATCCCTGAGACGGGGTAGGCGTGGCTTATGAGCATGGCCTAGGACGGGTTCACTCGTGGGATACTTCAATTGAAACAACTGCCATCTTGTTCTGTGTTAGATGTAGACATGATTACGACTGTTCCAAAATGAAAATATCCCACGATATCCTGGAAGGCCGCCACTTTAATTAAGTACGCAGCCACAACCCGATCTTATGGATTACGAGTATACCTATAGAACTGCAAAAGATTGTGTGGGAAGGGTAGTGTGGTCACAATGGAAAACCTTGCGCTAGTTTCGTGGAGGAATGTTT